GATTTGGGAGCTCTAAACGTACAACGGGGTAATTCATACTTCTTCTTTTTTATGCATCCCTTTTAATATGCAATTTTACATTACTGTTAACAACATCTAAAAATGACTTCTAGGTAGAGATCACGGATTGCCCCCTTATAATGAATGGCGAAAGTATTGTAATTTGAGTTTTGCCCACACTTTCGATGATTTAAAGCATGAAATTAAAAATGAAAGAATAAGATATAAATTGCAACAAATATACGGAAATCCAAACAATATTGATCTATGGGTCGGCGCCGTGTCTGAAGACATACTACAACTGTCGAAAGTCGGGCCAACATTTCAGTGCCTATTAGTTGAACAGTTTAAAAGACTTCGAGACGGCGATAGGTTCTACTTTGAGGTCAATCCGAGTCACTAATGCCTATCATTTAAACATTGTTTTCACAATCTATTTCTCATTCATTGCCACGACTAACAGAACTCCGGAGTCCTAACAGCGGAACAAATGATTGAAATAAAGAAGACATCACTCGCGCGAGTTATTTGCGACAATTCAGACAATATCACAACCATTACATCCGATGTCTTCATTCAACCCAAACACCAAAACTGGCAAAACTGTCATCACTTGCCAGCAATAGATCTCAACAAATGGCAAAATAGTTTAATGCCCGCCAATCCATGTACTAATCATAGGAAACAAAGTTTTCAAGACTTTGAAGTACCGGAACAGCTATTGAATCAATTGAGAAATGGATAATCACTGCCATAAATGTTATTAAATAAAAACGTTTTAAGCATTTATTGTTAATTAAACTAAATATATCTAAAACTTAAGTAAAAATAATTGATATAATATTTTGATTGTTTGAATGAGTGGTCATTTATTGAGCAAATATTTGGTGTGCTTTCCATTGGCCACCAATTGATTGGTATTTTGATTGAAGACATCGACGGAAAGGAAAGCTATATTTTTGCCACATTTCAGAGCATTGGCTTCAATGAGAAGAGTGTCTCCCAATTGAACGCCATTTAAATAAGTGATACTTAAGTCCAACGAAACGCTGTTTACTTTGGCGAACAAGAAAGGAAAGCTATATTTTTGCCACATTTCAGAGCATTGGCTTCAATGAGAAGAGTGTCTCCCAATTGAACGCCATTTAAATAAGTGATACTTAAGTCCAACGAAACGCTGTTTACTTTGGCGAACACTCCCTCTCTTTGCTGCTCAGGAGTGACCAGAGCTGTGGTGAGCGCCAGACTCGACAACTGGTCCACAAGAGTGGCAGTCATTCCTCCGTGAAGTCGATCGGACCAATTGGTCATCTCTTTGGTGACAATCACGTGAGCAGTCAATCGACCCTTTGATGCGCTCTTTATGTCGACCTTAGGTTCAGTGAAAAGTCATTTCAATTTATGGCAAACTATTCACTGACGAGACAATTGTCGACAATCGGTGATCACAAGTGATGACCACAAGTGGTGACCACATGTGATGACCACTTCCTCACCGGTTGTGGACACGTGTGAGACCTGTTGGAGGACGCGATCGAAGCGATTGCTTTCCACCAATACTTTCAGTGTATTTCTCATCAAATTTAACATTAATTGAGACATCGATTCAAGTCTTCAGACGACAAGAGATATCACTTTTGAAACCAATTTCAACACAAAAGTCAACCAAAGATTGCATAATATTTTGGTTGTGACGATAACTCGATCTCTCATTTGATTGGTTTAAATTAAAATTAAACGTAAAGTGAGAGCCAATGAAATGAGCGAACAATAAGTCACGTGAGAAGTGATGAACAGTTTGAATGAAGTGTCGATCGTTTGAACACTTGTTGTGAACATTGATTGCATTGAAAGGCATTGTCTTCACGTCTCACACACTCTCTCACCACTCGTTGTCTTCATATTGTCTATCAATACATCCGTTATGTCATCAGAAAACCGAAGACCCGTCGAGTCAGCCGTGGCTGACAAGAGTGGCGCCCAAAGCGGACGAATGGCCGCAACCAAGCGGTTGCAGAAGGAGTTAATGGACTTTGTCCTCAATTCGGACACATCTATGACCGCATTCCCCGACGGAGACAACCTCTTCAGGTATTGTCCAATCAATCCATTCTTTAATCGATGCAATCAATGACCTCTTGTTTTGTGTCCAACAGATGGATCGCAACCATCACTGGACCTAAAGATACAGTTTTCGATGGCTTGAAGTTTAAACTAATGCTCACTTTTTCGGCCAAATATCCATCAAAGGCATTGTCTTCACGTCTCTCACACTCTCTCACCACTCGTTGTCTTCATATTGTCTATCAATACATCCGTTATGTCATCAGAAAACCGAAGACCCGTCGAGTCAGCCGTGGCTGACAAGAGTTTGTCCCAAAGCGGACGAATGGCCGCAACCAAGCGGTTGCAGAAGGAGTTAATGGACTTTGTCCTCAATTCGGACACATCTATGACCGCATTCCCCGACGGAGACAACCTCTTCAGGTATTGTCAATCAATCCATTCTTGGCACAACTTTAGAATGTGGGCACCAGCGGAACAGGCCGCGGAGTGTATATTTGAATAGCCCTTGGTCAGTAGTACCGAGCTATGGTAGTCCGAGTTTACGACGACAACCCGTTTTCGAGATATTCGAGATAAAAGTTGTGATTTTCCCATAGAAGCCCATTATAAACAAAATTTTCTTTTTTACGCCTTTTGTTATGTTATGTTACAGTTGTTCCGGGGATAAGAATTACATATAGAGTTGTTCCGGAGATTAGACTTATATATACAGTATACGGGATAAGACATATATGTATACACGTAAACTATATGTATATGTGTATATGTATATTTATAAGTTGGTTAGGTTAGGTTAAGTTAGGTTAGGTTAGGTTAGGTTAGGTTAGGTTAGGTGTAAAAAAAGAAAATTTTGTTTATAATGGGTTTCTATGGGAAAATCACAACTTTTATCTCGAATATCTCGAAAACGAGTTGTCGTCGTAAACTCGGACTACCATAGCTCGGTACTACTGACCAAGGGCTATACAAATATACACTCGGCGGCCATTTTTGTTGGTGCCCAGAAAAAAAAGTGCAGCCCCATTCTTCAATCGATGCAATCAATGACCTCTTGTTTTGTGTCCAACAGATGGATCGCAACCATCACTGGACCTAAAGATACAGTTTTCGATGGCTTGAAGTTTAAACTAATGCTCACTTTTTCGGCCAAATATCCATTTTGTGCGCCAATTGTTGTCTTTCTTAACCATTGCTTTCATCCAAATATCAGTAGTGATGGAGATATTTGTTTAGATATATTAAAGGTATTTGTTCTCTGCGGCCAAAGCGTCTAAAGGACTGTCCAAATTGGGTTCACCTATCGATCACATTATTAGACAATTATGTATAACAATTGCAAACACAACAAACC